TATTTTTATTTTCTATCAACTATGGTGGATTATTCTGATATTTCCATATCACTAAAGAGGCGCATGGAGCAGCGGTGGAGGCGTTGCCCTGATACGCAGGCTCCAATCATGTCCTCCAAGGCCAACCAAGCTCACCTTCTTTCTGGGGGTAGTAAATTGGTACCGGAAAATTCTAAGTGAGATAACTAGCACAGAGTTTGTGAAGAGTGCCTAACTCAAGCTATTGTATAAACCAGGTTAGCATTCAGCTATCTCCGCAATACGACGTTGAACACGAATACGTAGACGCTTACCGAAACAGGAGTTGATCAATGCCAAAACTTTAATCTAGTTTAAATTTCTACTTATGTAAAATAAATCTCAAAACTTCGGTATAGCTTGGACCTGTATCTGATCAAATATAAGTAAACTAACACAACAATAATAAGAGAAGGAGAATGGAAAGTCGTCTGGACGGCAAACTGGAGAAACGCTGAATGAGGAAGTGGAGTAGAGGAAGAAAAGTTCAGTAGCCAGAGGTCGCCCGAATTTTGAATAAATCACCCGGCTACCAAACCGAAATGAACATAGCGTTCAGTGGTTACAAAGAAAGGACTCCGGTAATGCAATCGGTGGCACACCAGACCGCCCATCTGTAGATGTGGGCTCGAGTCCCGCTCAACGTTATTAGTTTTGTGACTAACTCAGCATCATTAAGGGTATTAAAGCATGATTATAACCTGTGGTTGACAAAAAATCGAAAAATAAAACTATAAGGATTACATCAATATGTACGGTGATCCCATAGCTATCAGTTTGACTGAATGTAACATCGTTATAGGCCCACCAGAGCGAGCCCGTTAGTGTGCGAACGTTAATTAGAAGCTCACTTTAGAATAAATGAAGCATTGAGCGGTCACAGAACGAGGACCTCAAATATGCAATTGGTATCATACCGAATCGCACATCCGTAGATCCGGGTTAAGGTTTCTTCTCAGGGGGCGACTAACCTAGCATTAGGAATTTCAATTAATCTTTTCCTCCCTAGTACTTTTCGACCTAAAAAAAGCACGGCCTAATCGCGGAACAAGCACATAGTGCGATTGTTAGCACACCAGACTCTACATCTGTGAGATTTGAGCTCTAATCTCAACTGAAGCTCCGTACTTTCTTATAACTGATAGAAAAATAATTACGTCGCTATGAAACGTTGTGCTTCACGACTGTTTACAAAATTATACAACAGAAGTGAAGTTTTTCACCTAATGAAACGCCCGCTTTGCGGATTAGATCATCTTAATTTTGAGGAATGAAAAAGAAGCACAAATGGTGTTGAAAGTTGGAATTAGTGGGAAAAATAATACGACAGGGGATAAAGAAGATGAAATTGCAGTTATTAAGACGTCCCTGATAAAAGTGAGCGGGAATAAAAGTGAGATTGATTGTTCTTAAATTAAAGAAAGGTGCTCTGCTATTCAGCAAAGATGTGGATACCTCAACTACGTCAATATATTCGAAAACTATACACAGGACGCTTGAGAGGTTTCTTTCACGAAATAACAAGCAAGCACAACACCAAGCCGGTCTGCGCAATACACAATTTGTAAAAATATATTATCCGCAAACCTCAAAGAAAAACTTGCCAAAAGCAAAATATAGATGGATTGTTCATAGAATGCGAAAAGAGGACAATCTATGCAGAAGAAAAGCAGTAGAATGACACCTGAAAGCATATAGGTCTGCTTTTGCACCACCATTCACAAGATTGGGGAACGTGTTCGAGGTTAACGTCCAACGTTTTCTCAGACAACTTATATTCAAAGGCAACCACGGAAATTGTGGCGACGGCTCAACAATATACCTGGAAAACCATCGTCATGAACGACAGTCTCGAAAACGAAATGTAACTAAAATCCACGCTATTCTTGCAGATGGAATTCAACCACGTAAATATGTAAATAAGTTTCTTCGATTTCGCAGTGTCGAAGCTGAGCAAAGATGTTCGAAATCTATTCACCTGTGAAATTCAAATGAATAGATACGAATCGAAATTAAAGGATGGTATTTGCGATTTTTATTACAAACACAGATATCACTGCATAAATATCAAGATATAAGTCAGTGTCAATTGTGTTGGATTTTAGAATCGCGAAATGGGTCGCTCTCATTTCAGAACATACTTAAAAAACCACCAGTATGGGTGACGGTCGCTTGAAGAAAAACAGAAAGGAGGATGCTGGATTTCGCAGTACGCGTTAAGACGGACCAACCATATAAGTAATAAACCAAATACTAGCCATAATAAAATAAACTTAGTGAAGTAAATGACAATTATAAATGTCACAAACCTGAAACACAATCGGTGCAGAAAATGGATCGTACTGATTCTTATTCAGTACCGGAAGAATGAAACTTCCACCAAGCGTTCTGAAAAAAATAGTCTCGCAACCTATTAGACTGATCCATTTTCATTCCTGAGTTCTGTTTATGTTAAAAACGCACACACATATTTTGTTGAGTTTGATAAAAAAATTCATTAAGATTTTAGTAGAAAAAACCTGTTCTACATGAAATATTTTGCTCAAATTCAAATTTTTCCGTTGCTAGATGCACCTACGCTTTTTGTGGTCAACGTACATTGTGGATACGATTAAATGTATGTCTGGTATGGCGAATTGTTTCAGTTGATCACTTATTACAAGCCAGTGCGATTTGTATTAATTACGTGTACTACATGTCTTATATCAACCAGATTTGTCTGATGCTGTGACTTAGTGACTCCGGAGGGATGATGGGCACCGTAAGACGGAGGCAGCCATGACTATCGCAACGTTTTACACTAAATAGATGTCCCGAAAGTTTTAATTTCATATCAAGTCTACTGATTGCTTTTGCTGTGCATATAGCTCATTGACGCAATATTGGTGTTTGTCAAAATTAAGCCACTTCTTAAGATGAAAATGCTATCTTTTGCAGCACTCGCAAATTTGCTGAGAGAGAACTGAGAATATACCGTAACCTGAATGTTCAAAAGTGATTAAACAGTAAATATTGTTAAAATTAGATATTCTAATCATATCCATCATTTGTTAAAATAAAGGTCTCACAACGGCTGCAATAAATTAACAAATATTTCAAAAATTCTCTGAAGCAACACTATTTATGGGTGACAATTTGAAATTTCTTGCAGTCCGCCATCACAGATGGCCTTTCACTGTAAAACTAGTAAAACCAAAAATATGTAAATAAAAAAGTGAACCCACTTAGTGAAAGAATTCGTTCTGCTCAGAATGTCGTCCACTTCAGTATCGTTCCTTAGCTTCTCAGCTAACTCTGTTAAATTAACACCCGCCGCTTCCAGTGCGGAAATATTTACTCCGATTGGCCCCTCGATCTCCACTCCTGCAGTTTTACGTCTTAGAGTAAGCTAAGATGTTTGTAGATCACAGTTAAACCAGCCTTCAAAATTGCTGCTATCAAACTCATCGATGGATTTTGGAACGTAGTCCGCACAAATTCCTGGTAAATATAAACCAACCTGGAGTAACAAATTCAATAAGAGTTAGATTTCTGTTTTACAGTATGTTTTCAAGTCTAAACGGCATTGGGGAACTACTATGTTATGATTGTAAAAACATAATACTTTATTATTTTATTCTTCTGTTTGAGAACATGTTGTTAAGCTTTGCAAGCAATATTCAGAATAATGTATATTTGCTTAGGTTTTTGAGATATCTGACTATGTAGAATGATTAGCTTAATGTTGGCTTTGCCCAATAAAATCATTCGCTTATATGAGATTTAGTCACCAAATGATTAGAGTTTATCAAAACATCGCAAATAATCCAATCACTAATTGAACACTCTCACTTACGCACTAGTTTTTTATGTTCAGTAAGAAATAAGACTTCCCGATTAGGAAGTTCAAACTAAAGAGATGGGTAAACTACGAGCAATGTTATGAAATGGAAACAGAGACGTTAAAGCCATCGGAAGCTGCCGTCAAAACTCTCCACTGCCCATTGTTTGTGACATTTTCACATTAGTTATTCTTAACAGGACGGACAGAACATTTGACGAAGCGCAAATACACCACTATGTAGAGGTTCTCCAGAAGGATTGGACACTGTGAATCATATTCACACAACGCCGACTGCATTACGGTATAAAAAGAACGACCTATTAATTCATCTCACCACTTCAAACAGACTTTCTGCTACAGTAATATAAGAACAATAACAAAAACGATAACCAGTTAACTTCCTTTTTTCCATAAATTAAGAATCATCGTACGCTACAAGAACTTCACTATATTGAATTCTCTATCCAAAAAAACCGATGGCCGACAATGCTTACAAATTTGAGTGAGATGGTAGTTTTGGATGTATTACGGATTATTATTACCATTACGTATTTATTTATCTGCATTTATTATTTATTTATGTATATTTGCTTAGGTTTCATATTGAAAGAAGATTCAGTCCACCATGGACGACAATCGCGGGAGAACGAAACGAAACGAATGGAGAGTTGCTGGGACCGGCACTACACGTGACGACAGGCCATCCAAGTAACCAAGTAGTATTTGGTGATTACAACATCAACCATGCGAAACAAACAATAGCGAGCATACTTGTAAAAAAGTCGTTTGCAAAAGAAAAACTGGATGCAAAGTTTTGATGTCAACAACCAGAAATCTGATGACTGTAGTTACCAAACCGTCGACCATCAAGTAGAAGAGATACTTGATTTTATTAAACAGTAATTGTTAGACTGAGTCATAAGTGATAAGATTTCACTAGATAACAAACGCACTGCATAAATATCGAGCAGTTAATCTGTGGGCTAATTATTTGTATGAGTGCCTCCCACTTCATATTTAAACATGTGACCATAAAAATTTTTTGCCATACTACTTATTCGTTGTCAGTCGCATACAATGTCCAGAAACGGTCAGTTAAAAAAGGAGAAAAACAGAACAAGGACCATCATTTTGGCACTCACTAATATTGTGAAGTGAGTGCATCAATCGGGAATCGATCCTGGATCGCCCGAGTAGCAGCCGAGCATTTCTTCACTAAAACATCAATGCCGAATGTTAATCAATCGTAAACCACCATTCGATATAGTGATAATAGCTCATCACGAATTATTCATAACACTTTGATTGGATAAAGATATAAAAGCAATCTAGCCTTCCATTCATACTTTATTGTTAGCTTGCTCGACACTTTATGTTCGACTGTTCACTTCTTCTGCAGGGACAGCAACATCATTTTCACATGCATTCTTACTTTCACTGTGACATCATGTCAGTCATTCGTTTTATAAGATCAGCAAGCGTATTGGTTTTGAGCGTTTAAACGTTAAGAACAGTCTACTATGATAGACTGTAGAATGAGAAGTTGATTGAAACTTAACCAAAGAAATTTGCTGACATTTTGACGTGTAGCACTGAATGTTTCGTATAATTACAATTTACAGCAGCGATATTATAATCTTTTGCTAGCTAAGTTCCATATCGTACGTATTTCAGGGAATCTTCATGCATATGAAGTGCGGTTTAGTTTATGAAAAATATCCCATACCTTTTCGAATCTTTCAAATGCATCTGTAGGTATTTTCAACGCCAGTGCGTTTACAGCCTCCATAGAAGTAAAGAAAAGTGTTGGACTAAAACGATGAAGCCTTTAAAATCAATAGTTAAATTGACGCATCTAAACCTCTGTAGCTGTATTGATTATTCATTAAAAATTTTTTTCTAAAAATAACAGAATTCTCCTTATATGACGTCACTGTTGTCGAAAAGAATTTTTATTGTACATTGGTAGCACTAAATAAGGTGGTACCAAATATTATTGTGAGAAGAAATAAATAATAGTTGTCTTGCGGGGTAAGCAAGCAGATGCCGTTATTATCTGTTCAGATATGAACAAACTTATTTGCAGCTACTTCTCTTATTCACTTAGAAAACTTGACATTGAAAATTTCAAGCTCAAAAAGCAATGATTGCTATGTTATCCCTACTGAATCTAAATAACGATTAGCAAGCACTTTTGTATTAAATTAGGTGGATTTCATTTTAAAAAAAGTGAAAAATGAATGAAGAGATAAAATGAAAAAATACAAAAAAATTAAGGAGTTTTGAAGTCATTATATGTGGATTTTCCCAGATGGTTTACTGGCTTAACGTCGCTGGAAGGTGCTCCTAGAGTCTGATTTCGAGATGGAATACCTAGCAAAGAGTGAACCTATAAAGAATCGTCACCGTCTGCCAAGAGTAAACCCATTAAGAGTCGCCACCGTTTTGGTGAAGTAATGTCGCAGTGGATCACATCTCTTTGAGCTATAAAGGCCGATGAGTACCTGTGGCGAAAACCATGAGAACACCTGAACAGGACTACTACAGAAATCCAGAAACTGGAGGTACACCAGCAAAAGTTTGCGCCAGTATTACCGTCTACACTGAAAACCACCACCATAGACAATAGTTGCACGGCAAGAAAACGAATGGAGGATTACTGAGGCTCGTACTACACCACCCGTGTAAAGTTGGGTCATCCAAGCATCCAAGTATATGTGGATTTCAATTAGATTTTATATCATAAAAATCAAGTAAAATTTGTACATCATGATTCAGACTCAGCTTTGCAGTCAGGAATCATATAGAAAACAACTCCATTCATTTCTGAGAACATTAGATAAGATGGTCTTTGGCGTTGATGAATTCTTTGTGATGGGATGTACTCATGTTCAACGTGATATCGTGGTGTTTAAATGCGAGCCTGGTTTATACAGGGACTTGAGTTGATCAATCTTCAACAAGTCAATTCTAGTTAGCTTAGCGGGCTTGATAGGCCTGGAAGGCTGCCGCAAATTGATTCGAGCCTGCGTGTCACTGGAGCAACTCCACCACTTCGCATCTGCGCCCCGTATTCCAAAATATTACTGATCATACACCAATTCCTTGCTTGTTTTTGAATCCACTTTTACTGATTATTTTCCATGCACGGATTCTATTACGATATATAATATACGATTATTGAAACCATAATGAATATATATGACACTACTACTAATTTGCTTCAATTAAAACAATGTATAATGGCGAAACATACTGTCCCTCTTCCTTCTGCTCAATATTAATCCATCTGAATTCAGTAGTATTCTCACTAGTCGATTCTTCGCTGTCGTAACTTTTCTCCTTTGGTTCACTTGTGGATGGGTTGACCTAAAGTTCTAAAGTTCTGTTTTCGAAAAGATTGTAGAGATTACTATGTCGAGTAATCTCTACTTTATCATTCAAATTTCGTGCAAAACAAAGACATATTACATATTATATTAATTTGTAGTTTATGAGTCATCATATCGAAAGTTAGAAGTGGTGGAGGCAAGTGAAAGTGCAAATGTCCTGAATCATAAAAGGTCATAATTCCGATATGCCTCTGGAAGGGATCATAAAGGTCATAGCTTCGATATGTTCTGGAAATGAACTTAGCCACATTATTAAATGAACGAACGGTAAAAGGACATTATTTCCTCAGGCCGAAGTCTGCGCCTGCTCCCTATATAGGCAGTTACGGTAAACATCTCCTGCATACTCTCACTCATGACTCATCCCAATCTTCTTACACCTTTGTCATTAAACTCGTTGTTGTTATATCATTATATTACAAATCTCGTACATTGCTAGTGTTAATTCTATTGTGTTATTTCTTGATTTA